ACTAATAGAGCTGAAAGGAGAAATAAACAAATCCACAAGTATAGTTGGGGACTTGAACATAGTGATTGATAGAACTGCTAGTCAGAAATGAGCAAGGGTATAGAATAGCTAAACACCACCACAGGCCACCAAGATCTAATTTACACCCTATCCAACAATAGCAGAATACATTATTTTTTCAAGTGCCCACGAACCATTCACCAAGATAGACCATATGCTGGATCATAAAACAAATCTTAACTAATTCAGAAGAATTAAAGTTATATGACATATATTCTTTGAACATAATGGAATCAAACTAGAAATCAATAATAGAAAGATGACAAGAAAATCTACAAACACTTGAAAGTTAAAGATACTTCTAAATAATACAGAGACAAAGGGGAAATCTAAGAGGAAAGTTAAAAATACAAAGAATGAATGAAAATACACACATCACACATCAAAATAAGTGAGATGCAGCTAAAGCACTGCTGTGAGGGAAATTTATAGCACTAAAGGCTTACATTAGAAAAGTCTCAAATCCGTAGTCTAAGTTCCTATCTGAAGATGCTAGAAAAAGAAGAGCAAGATAGACCCAAAGCAAGCAGGATGAGGGAAATCATTAAGAGTAGAAGTCAGTGAAACTGAAAACAGGAACACTTCTGAGAAATGTAATGAAACAAAAAATTGGTTCTTAGAAAAAAATGAATGAAATTGATAAATCTCTAGCAAGATTGATAAAAAGAAAGAGATGACACAAATCACCAATATCAGGAATGAAACAGGATATCACTACAGATCTTATAGTGAGTAAAAAGATGACAACTTTACACATAAGTTAAACAGCCTAGAAGAAATGCACCAACTATTTGAAAACCACGAACTACCAGAACTTAGCCAAATTGAAATAGATATCTTCTATCGTCCTGTAACTATTTTTAAAATTGAACTTTTGATTAAAAACTGAAAAAGAATAAATCTCCAGGCCTAAGTGGTTTCACTGGAGAATTTTACCAAACACAGAAAGCATTAACATCAATTTGATAAAATGATACCGTCTCTTTCAGGCTGTCAGAGCAGAAGGAACACTTCCCAACTCATTTTGAGGCCTGTATTACCGTGATACCAAAACTGTACAAATACAGCACAAAAAAGAAAACCACAGACTAATATCTCATTGACTTAAATGCAAAAATTCTCAACAAATTTTAGCAAATTGAATCCAACCACAGCCAACTGGGATTTAGTCTGGAAACCCAAGTCTGTTTCAGTATTAGAAAATCAATGAGGGGCTTCCCTGGTGGTGCAGTGGTTGAGAGT